AAATTAAAAAACAATAAAGACAAATCCTCTGCTACATGTTTACGTGTGGTTTGTGGACATTTTGAAAGGATGGATATACCCAGCTGTTAATAATGGTTCCCTGCGGAATAAAACTGGAGTTAGAAATGAAAGGAACAGATTTCTTCTTCTTCTTTTTTTTTATAAGCACAGGTTACTTTTGTAATTGGCAAATTTTAGCTTAAAAATACAGCTACAATATAGAACACCCCACCCCAAAATATATTCTCCCTTGAAAGAAAGTGTCCTTATTGAAATGGGGGTTGGAGGCTGGCATTCAACTCCAGGTAGATTCACAAAGACAGGAGAATGGAAAGAAAAAACTAAAACTGAGCCTCCCCCAATACCTTGCCACCATCTTAAGCACTGGGGAGGGTGAGATGCAAGACGACCAAGACTGTCTTTGTCTACCAGCTCAGAAGAATGAGGGGCTCAGGGTCAAAAACTAAGTGTTAGAAAATAAAGTGATATTTCTCGCATGTCTGAATTTTTGGACTGAGATTCACATTATTATATATACATACCCTTCTCATTGAATTCTCTTGCAATCCTATTCTCTTCATTTTACAGATGAGGAAAGGGCTTTTTAAGGTTAATTTTCCTGAGGTCACATAACGAGTAAGTAGCAAAACTAGAACTCAGATTTGGGTCTCCCTAAGCCTGAAGCCTGTGCTAACTAGCTACTATTCTGTGCTACCTAGAATAGGTGTTACCTTCTCCCTACCACCTGCACCCAATCCCTACTCCCAATTCTTGCTAATTTAGGCAACATGCCCTCCTCTAGGAAGCCACTATTGAGCATCTCGCCTGAAGTTTAGGCCTCCCTAAATCTCCTGACCCCAACTGCATCACAGACCCTACTGTATTTTAATAATCTCTGTATATGTTTGCTCTCCACTAGACTGTGAATTCTTGAGGGCAGGAATTATCTCCCATGTCTGACACACAGTAGGTGATTTATTTAGTTCTACAACAGAAGAATGTCACTTGTATTTCATTGTTTCCTCACTAAATTCTGAACTTCATAAGGTTAAAGAATGCATCTTGTTTTATGCACCATTAAATCATTGGAGCCTAACACTAGTTAGGCACAGACTAGGCTTTCAATAGGTATTTCTGAACAAATGAATAATTCTATAAGTAATCTCTGTTTACTGTGACTCTGAGACACATTCAGAGAAAAAGCAGTTTCTTGACATCCTTTTCTTTACAATGATTTAGTATTTTAAGTTATTTCCACACTTCGACATTTTAAAATCCGTCATTATTTCCCCGTTTTCATCCTCACACCCACATGGAACATGATCTCCACTATTTGGATGTGTGAGATTTTGATTCAGCCTTGCATTTATCCTCCTATTGCAAACCGCTAGTCATTCCTATCAACCTCCCTCAACTGCCATAATGTCATGAATCAGGGGGATGTACTTAGAAGTGAAGTGAACACTTAGCCATCAATTTAAAAGCGTGCTTTTCCCTGGGATAATCATAAAGTTACACTACACGTTCCTGGATGTGACCCTCTCACGACAGAATCTCCTACACGAGTGGACTGATGCCGTATGGCTATGACTAAATTAAAGATGTGGGATAATAGAAGAGTTAAAATAGTGTTTGCTAGGCAAGGTTTTGATCTTTTAAAAAATAGGTGATATAGGCTCTAATTATAGAAACAAGAAAAATATGTTCCAAATTACTTTCCAAGCAGTTTGCCTAGATTAACAGTCCCACAGACAAAGAAGGGGACCAAACGCTCTTTCCGACCGGCGTCTGCAGCCACAGCCCGCGCCTCTGCAGGAGGGGCCGGCAGAGCCTCCAGAGGCCCAAAGTAGCAGGGGGCGGGATCGAGGGCGGGTTCAGGCCTCCAGAGGCGGAGCCAGAGCGGGCGAGGGGCAGGCTGGGAAGCGGCGCCATATTGGCGTCGGCCGCGCTGTATTGTCATAAATAGAGCCGGTTTTGTGGTGTTTTCACTACTCGGTTGGATGCCTCGGCCGTAGTAAGTAAGAAAGTGAGCGAGCGAGCGAGCTACAAGCGACCGGAGGAAAGTGGACAGGGGGAGACGGGAACAGCGAGAATAGGACTACAGAGCGAAAGATACTCGCTTGTGAGGGAGACGCAGGAAGCGATGAAAGAAACGTCTGCGTAAGTGGTGGGGGGCCGCAGTTGGGGGCGAAGCGGAGAGGGGTGGGCTGAGGTGGTCGACCCGGGACTCCGTTTCCGTGTCCAGCCCGGAGCTCGCCTGAGTGGTCTCCTTCCCCGCTCGTCGGGTCGGCAAGGGCACCTCCCCTACACCCGGCGGCTCACCTGGCCATCCCCCTGCACTCTGCACAGATTCGGGGACTTCAGGAGTCCCCTTCTGGCCTCGGCTGTCCCGCCTCCCAGGACGTCCCTAGACGAAGATGCGGCGGGAGAGAGGCGCGTGTCTGGGGAGAAATTGTCGGTCACTCCTGCCCCCAGCACTGTCTGAGCCGGTCTCTGCTCCTGTCTGCATTGGCGCAAATACCATCCCCCTACTTCCCCCTCCTCCCTTCCGTACCGGCTTCTCCAGGTCTTCGGGAGTGAATGACCTACTCCAGCTCTTGTCTCTTTAGTAAAGACTATGGTCTTTTCGCCTTCCCCCGGCCTATCCATCTACCCACAGTATACCTACCGGTCTGTCTGTACCTCCTGCTCACACTTTTTTGATAAGTCAGAAAAGGTTTCCGTGCTTGTCGGAAGATTTTGTTATAGCTTCTTCCATTATTCAGTTTATTAGGAAATAATATAAACTTGCAGGAAAATGCAGAGAATAACATAAGCATCATTTGTGTAGCCACCATTCATCTTTCCCAAAGCATAACATACATGTGTGTGTGCACACATACCTTAAAAAGAAATCATGCATTCCAAATACATCTGAAGGCTTCTCCTACCTCCTGATCTGTTACCCCCATTCGCCCCTCCCCAGAGTTCCCCACAGTGCTGAATTTGATGTTTACCGCTACATGTTTTTTAATGCTGTTACTACATATGCATGTGTCCATAATAACAGGCATTGTTTTTAAGGTTTATGTAACCAGTGTCACAGTTGTCATTCTGCATCTTGCTTCTTTAGTGCAACGTGGTATCTTTGAGCTTTGTCCACGTTAATATTTTTAGCTCTAATTAGTTCATATTAACTACAATGTATTCCATTGTAGGGGTACACCCTAGTTTAGTTCTTTTCCTGTTAGTGACTATTTTTAGTTTCTAAGTTTTTCATGTTAGTGTGGCAGTGAACATTCTTGTATGTCTTCTTGCACACTTGTACTGGAATTTCTCTAACATGTTTACCTATAAGTGAAATTTATCAGTTGAAGGCATTGTGCTTTTTTTCCCTGTCTAGATGAGGGAGGTTCAGAACCATAGATTTGGCATTTTAGTGCTAGTAGAGACCTAGATAGCCAACTTTCTCGTCATACAGATAAGAAAGGGGAACCAAGATCATAATTAGTGTCAGAACTGAAATCTGGAAAGGAGAGTGGAGTTGTGGAAAGATCTTGAGTTTTGGCGTTCAGATTCTGGCTCTTCTTCTTCCTATCTTTTTGGATCTTGGTACTTAACCTGTAAAGTGGCACTTATTCAGTACCCCTCAGGGTTATTGTTGAGATTAATTGAATGATCATATATAATTAGTCCGAGCCATCCATTTATCATATACATGTAAACATACAAAAACTATAACAAAATGCCTCTCTAGTTTCTCTTAGAGGTAAAAGAGCTAACTCTTTAAAAAGAAGTTACAACTTGAAATAACTGATTGAAATTGTTTGTTCTAAAAATACTCATAAATACCAGAAAGAAATTAAAGCCACTAGTATTGATGTTTCTCTTTTGTTTCTTGGAATCATTTCAAAAGGTAGATAGACTATTTTAGCTTCCATTTGATTCTCCCTACCTACCTAATTTTTAGCCAAAGAGCATGTGATAAGCCAATGTTTTAACTAAAATTCAAAAACAATCACTTGTATTTTTGTGTCAGTGTTCATAGGGCTAATTTATTCATTTAAAAAACTGCTCTTTGAGATACATTCTTACTATAGGTGTTAATGGCCTCATACTATAGGTGTTAATGGTCTCATGAAAGAATGATGAAGATAGGTGATAGGGTTGGTTGGTTTTTGTGTATGTTTGTTTTTACCTTCCTTTCTTAGCATAATTAAAAGTTTTACCAGCCCATGTTGGTCCAAATTTTACTTTGAAATTATCAGTCTGTGAAAATCCAAAATCTCAGAAATTCTGTTGTATTATGTATTCAAGACTATAATTTCCTGATGGCTAGGATTTTTTCAACAGTGGCTTATATCTTATAAAAGTTGCCATTTAGTGTAAAGAAGTTGATTATTATTCAGTGTGAAAATGGTCTGGGTACCAGTCTAAATGAAGGAACAATTAACTAGAGTCACAAAATGTTAGGACTGTAAACTCTGATTCAAGCAAAGTATGTTAATTTAGATGTCCCAAGGACAAATCTAGATGTGATTTCTTTTTAAAAGCCATACTATTTTCCTAGGACCTTCTAATGGGATGTTTTTGTTTCTTTGGGAGTAGGGGGCATTGTTTTTACTTAGAGCTTTCTTTCAAGTGGCTGACTGCTTTTCAGAGATTGAATCTAGATGGTACTAGACTTAAGTCTGCAGGGTGTAGTGGAGGTGGCCCTGGCCCAGCTCCCATTCAGGCTCTTTGCATTGGAGCTGAGTGGTGTTGGCACAGTTGTCCTGATGCTAACACATGCTGCGTTTGGCTTGAAAAGACATCCTAACCATGAAAGCTAGAGACAGTATGAATAGCCTTTCATCAACATAAACACAAAATACCCTTTTTCCTTTTTAAAAAAGTCCTTGTCCCAACTTTTAGTACTAATAAGTAAACTTTAAAGGTAGCTAAATTAATGAGTGGGTTGATGTGTCAGTATGATATGATACTTTAAATTTTTCTTCTGCTGTTTCATTTTTCTTGAACAGGAACACAGTGCTGGATAGCCAGCGTCAACAAAAGCATTATGGAATCACCTCTCCAATTAGCTTGGCATGCCCTAAAGAAATTGATCATCTTTATACCCAGAAATTAATTGATGCCATGAAACCATTTGGAGTGTTTGAAGATGAGGAAGAATTGAACCACAGGTATGTCCTTAAAAATGCAAAGTATTTAACAGTATATTATTTAATCATTAATTCTACAAATATATGTCACATAACTTACTATGTCCCTGCCTAGGGATTAAAAAAAGGACAAAATGAAAAGAAATCTTGGCCCTCCTGGAGTTACATTTTAGGTGGGAGTTAGGGAAGGAGACTAACAATTACCCAAATAAATAAAATAAAATGTTACACATGAGGAGTGCTACTGAGAAAAATAAAGCTGGGGGTGGAGGTGGTCAGAGAAGGCTTCATTAACGTTTGACGGAAATTTGAAGATGAGAGAACTATGTGGATTGTTGAGGGAAGAGCATTCTAGGCAAGAGGCTTGAGGTCGGAGTATACCTGCTATGTTTAAGGAATACATAGCGCGGTAGCCTGGATGTCTGAAGCTGAGTGAGTAAGCAGGGGAATATGGGCTTAAAGAAAGTGAGGTGGAAAAGAGTTTGGAGAGCTAGGTCCCTTAGGACATTGTAAGCCATTATAAAAGTTTTGACTTTTACTCTGAGTGAAATGGGAAGGTATTATTAGGGTTTTGAGCAGAAGATTGACATGATTTACTCAAGTTTTAACACAGTCACTCTGGCTGCTGTATTGCGAATAGTCTGAAGAGGGGTCAAGGGCAGGACTGGGAAAACTAGAAAGCAATTATTATAATAGTCCAGGGAGGAAATGATGGTGGCTGGAACTAGGAGGACAGCGGTGGAGATAAGAAGTAGTAGAATTCTGGATATATTTTAAAGGTAGGGTTGTTTAATGACTATGGAATGTGTAAGAAAGGAGGAGAGAGGTCAAGGCTGATGCCAAGGATTTTGGTCCCAGCACCTTGAAGGATGGAATTCCATTACTTGAGGAAGGCTGAGGTAGAAGCAAGTTTGGACAGATCAGGTTTCGGTTTTCATGTTATCTTTGAGATGCCTAAACTCTACTTTCCTTCTCATTTATTAGTGTGGATATGGATATGCCATTGATTGCAAATTTGTTTTCATATCAAATTGCTTTTATTGGGTTGTCGGAAGAGTCATGACGCATTTTTGCAACGAAAACCAGAAAAAATAACGTCATGACTTTTCCAACAACCCAGTATTAAATAATGTTATTTCATAAAAATTAGCCAATAATTAATTTACCCATTTTAATTATCTAAAGACCTATGATTCTCAATGAGAGAATGCTAATCTCTATTATTGAATTGATTTTATTCCATAGAAAGGCCAAAAAAGTTGACAATTCATTTGGTCTTTGCAGCCTTATTGAAGGTATTTTTGCTTTGTACTAGGTTATTTGAATTTTGAAAATAGCCCAAAGACCAAAATACTATTATCACATTTATTGTCTTTAGAAGTCTTAGGGACCTAAGAATGCCAAAGAGATGTGCCATGTATCAACAGATGTGATAGCATTAACATGTGTATTATATGCTATTACCCATACCATTACATCAACACAGAGGTACTCTCTATATGTTTAATTACTTGTTAAAATACTGTTCTTATATATTTTTTTAATTTTAATCTAAAGTATGCTGTTTTTTATTATAGGCTGGTTGTCCTTGGTAAACTGAACAATTTAGTAAAAGAATGGATTTCTGATGTCAGTGAGAGTAAGGTAAGACTCTAAACTTATAGTTTTAGTATATCTTGGTCGTTAGTCCTGGTAATAAGTTGGAGGAGTTGAGAATAATCTGAAATATATTAAAGCTCACTCTTTGGTATGCTTGGTAATGAATTGGTGTAGACAGTTGAGTTTCTATAAATAAATGAGGGCTTACCCCAAAGGTAGCCAACGTCTAGCTACAATTCTACTAAATGTCTTGCTTAACTCACTTGTAGTGGACCACAATTTAAATATCAAGAGATTTTATTTAAAAAGCCAGATTTCAGATTTTTTGTGAAATACCAGATCTGACAATACTGGGCTTGCCTTTGTGGAAGGCAGGAAGAGGCTTGAATGGAATTGAGCTCCAGCCCTCCAGGAATGTCTTGTGACTTCCATGACTCCCTGGTCTCTCTAACATAAGCAACTGTCATTTATCCATCATTTTCTGTGTTTCTTTTGCATACGTCCCTCTTTTACATACCTGACTGGCCCCTGAGACACAGGAGTTTGCAAACCCTAATTGGTAAATAATATTTTGTAAATATTTGTATGTAATAATTAAACTTTTTTCTTCTGCGGTGGCATACTATTTTTCTTCTAAAATCAATTACATTTTTCTTGCTTAAGAGTATTTTGGGTATAATTGAATAATCATTTGTCTGAGAATCATCACTATAAATATTATTTTACTGGCTATAGTAAAGGTAGGGCATGTTCAACTGGGTCTATTTGCCCCTTGACTAAGTGGCCCAAACTGTTGTATTTTAAGTTTTTTGTTTGTTTTTTATAGTTTTCCCATCTCTTCCTTAACAGCAATCAGCTGAAAAGTTAAATGTCTCACAGCAGTCAGTGTGTCTCTCTACAAACTCCCTTTCTGCTCCTTAATCTGCATGAGTTTAGAAATTATATAAACACCTGTTAGACTTCTTTCTTTTACAACTTTTATTTCTTTTGGTATCTATGATACATATTTAAAATTGGTTCTTTTAAACCAAACTATGAATAAGGTTATGAGGGACTCTGCTAATTAGTCTGTAATTATTGAGTTTAAATAAATGATCTTTATGCTTTTTTTTTTAAGCTTTTATTGGGGAATTGGGAGAGGGGAACAGACAAGTTGCTGTCTTTTTGTTCTTCAGGATAGTTGTGAAGGAGTTCGTTTCACTGGCCCATGTTGGTATTATCATTGTGCTCTTCCCAGGTGAGGCAGTCGCTCGCCAGGCCTTGGACGGCAGCTCATGCCAGCTGCCAGCCACTCATGCTGTCTGCCAGCCACTCATAGTAGCTTACAGCAGCCCACTGCAGCCCCACTACAGCCTACGCTGTCGCTGGTGACTTATGGCATCCCAGCTCCAGGTCAAGCTGTTGTTCACCATCTTAGCTGTAGAGGGCGCAGTGTCACTGGCCCTTATATGGGACCCGAACCGGGGCCCTGCTGCTCAGAGCTGCTGTCCCAAGCCAACTCAACCAACACGCCACTCGGCCAGCCCCTGGTCTTTATGCTTTTTACTTTTGCTGCCAAATTGACTCATTTCTGAGCTCTCAGAGGATTATCAGTAGTTTTTCAAATAAGTTGAGTTTTTCAAATAAGTTGAATTCTGAGCAGGCGAAATGCTAGTCTTGAGTAATAAAAAAGTTTGCATTTGTTTCTGTGTTACTAGGTGATCAGCTCCTCAAGAAAAAGGTCTGTCTCATTCCCCTGCACAACCCCAGGACAGGGCTCAGGCATGAGATAAATGTTAGGGGAACCTGTTGTCCCTGTCTAATCAGCCCATAATTGCAGTGGATGTGCAAACAAAATACCCAACTTGCTAGAATTATTTTAAAATCAGTAACAAGCTTTATGATTTCTTGTATATGGTCCTTATGTCAGCTATTGTGGTTGTGCAGAGGTCTTTGCTTCCACCTCCATTTAAGGATGCATTCAAGATAAGTCATGTGTTATTTGCAAAAAGTTACATTAATTTGAGAAATGCACCTAATTTTCTTACTGCATGGTTTCTTTACACTTAAAAGAAAAATTTGGTAGAATTCTGTTCCAGTGTCCAAAGGTTTTTTTAAAAAAGTTAATGAAATGTTTTTTTAGCCCATTTTAATCACATTAGTGCTTTAATCTGCAAAAACCAGTAGCTGGTTTCCATTTAATTTGTAGGCATAAAACCATTGTTAAAAATTTGAAACTTTGCCACAGTTTGGCTTTTTTAAAAAAACAAAGTAAATAAAATATCTAATTATAAAAAATGTAAATTGGTTTTAACATCTTCCATTGTGTGGATAAGGTGATTGGTCATTTTCCTAATCAATTATAATTCCCTTTCATTTATGCATATTTTAGTTTAGAAAATACCTGAAGGATTTCAGTTAGATCAAAGATCACGTTAACATTCTATACACAATTGGGATATTTAAACAGTCTAGAACTACAAATCAAATCATTTTAGCTAAATATTATGGTCTATGGCAAAAAATGTTTTACTCTGATTCAGTATGTCACTTTCTTATAAATCATGGCAAGAATCATGTTTTTTTTAAGTAGGAAGGTAAACTAAAAGGTCCTGACTTCTCGATCCTTTTGATTCATGCTAGTCATCCATAGATTTACTGACTCCATGCTACCTGTGAAATTATTTGTGATACTCTTGGACAATTAATATCCATTAAGCAGAGGAAGTAACAAACAGTATCTTGTTATACAGATACTTTTATTCAAGTTAATCAGCAGTATTATTATTCTTTGGAACTTGCACTGGGTATTATGGGGAAATAAGAGAAGTAGGAGACATAGTTCTCACCTCCCAAGGAATTTAAATATAGCTGAAGAGATGGGACTTACAGAAAAAGAAAAGTCACTAATTCAGTATAAAGGGGGTTAAAGATAATAATAGTGGAAGAGCACTGAAAGGATAAAAAGAGCTCTTTTTTTATAGGAGATAATCAGAGAAGGTTTCATGAAAGAGGTGGAATTTGAAGTGAACTTTGAAAAATTGATGGTATTGAGATACCGAGAGAGGATGGGCAAGCTTTTGAGGCAGGGAAAATGGCAACTGCAATGGGAAAAAGACTGAATTACGTAACATGTTGGCAGTTGGAGCTTCAGAAGGGAATATCAGGAGGTAAGGCAAGTAAGACCCATAGGAGCATACTGGGAAAATCCTTAAGATTCAAGAATCCTGGGCCAGTCGAGTGGCTCAGTTGGTTAAAAGCTCGCTCAAGAGTGCGAGCTCTGAGCAACAGTGGTTCGAGTCCCGGCTCGAGCTGAGCTGCCAACAGGTGGCGGGATGGCTCAGCTAAAAAAAAAAAAAAAAATTCAAGAATCCTTACTTCAGTAGTCAGGGAAGAATGCATTGGCAAGTTTTGGGCAGAAGAATTATAATAGAGTAATTTAAGAACATCAATCAGTGAATTTGTACTTAATGGAGTAAGAAAAAATAAAGAGTAAGGGCAAGAGGGTAGCTTTATGATACTGTTAAATAGCCTAGAATTAGGGTGGGTGGTAGTTGAATAGAAAGGAGGTGATGTGAGGGATATAAACTAAGAATTGGTAAGCCAAGAAGAAAAATAATGACTGTAGGTAAGGGCAGTAAAGGAAAATGAGGAATAGAAATAGAGAAATCAGGAGGGATACCTGGTTTATCATAGGAAGAATTTTTCTTGTTTCAGGAACGGATATTGCCTGAAGTAGATTGAACTGTCTGAAAATATCTGATAGTCAGAATTGGTTCTAGAGAAAGGTGAAAAGTAGTATAATTCTGATACAATCAAAAGTATATTAATTAAAGTTGTTATATTAGCTCTCATAAGGAAACTATGTCAGGAATGACCCCCTTTCTTGCAGAAAGGTTGCAGAGCTAGAATCAAGAAATTAAGCATATCTGTCACACACAAAAAAAGAGAAGATGGATTAGTCAGGAGTATGATTCTGCAGAAAGCTGAAAGTGCATTAGCTTGGTAAAGTTTCTTGGTCACTATTACGAGAGATGGAGCCAAAGACAGGCAGTTGGAAGTGACAAGTAGGATCAAGTGATAAAAAGTGTTTTTCTTAAGATAGAGATGTGTGCATGTGTAGTGGGTGTGAGTTGTTGTCTTCCCTCTGGGACTGCCCTCATTTCTACAAGTTGCAATCAAGAGTGCTGAAGTACTTTAACAAATCTCAGTTTACCAAAGTTGACAAATATAGTATATATTTATAACATTTAGGCAATTTGTATGCTGAATAATTTGAACAATTGAATGCCTTTGTTTTAATTTTATTTTAGAATCTCCCACCTTCTGTTGTGGCCACTGTTGGTGGTAAAATTTTCACATTTGGCTCCTATAGGCTTGGAGTACACACCAAAGGTAACTGCTTTTCTATATTCTACTGATAAAAACTTGCAATAACAAACTCTTATTTGTTCGTAATTTAAAAGTACAGAAGAAAAAAATTCTCATCTCATTAAAAGCTAATCAGTTAACATTTTCCTATACATATGTTTGTGTGTACTTTAACAAAAATATAATACATACTTAATATACTCTTCTTCATCAGAAATACTTTGATTTCCAGGGGCTGACATTGATGCACTTTGTGTAGCTCCAAGACATGTGGAGAGGTCAGATTTTTTTCAGTCTTTTTTTGAAAAATTGAAACATCAAGATGGCATTAGAAATTTAAGAGTAAGTATTCTCTGGTATTTAATATTTCAAACTTGTTAACAAATAGCTTATGATTTATGATTATGATTTATGATTAGTAAGTGCTTATGATTATTAAAATATTTCTTAAGAAGTTGCTATATGTTGTTAAAATAATGAATAATGATTAAGAACACGGCTTTATAGTTAATACAGACCTGAATTTGAATCTAGAAATCTACATATTAGCTCACAGATTTTGGCCAATTTTCCTATTCTCTGAGCCTTAGTTTCCTCACTTGTAAAATGTAGATGGAGCAATAAACTTTTTTATAAGGTTTTTCTGAGAATTGATGAGATAACTTACATTAAACATTTACTGTAATATCTGATAAATGGTTGATGCCTATCAAATGGTGGCTGCTATTATATATAAAGTTAAATTAGTAACTCATTATATGTATATATGCATTCATTCAGTAAATAAAATTTTAACACCAGTGACTCACCAGATACTGGTCTTAGTCCTACAGATACAGTAGTCAACAAGACATAGTTTATGGGAGGGAGAAATTGGGGGAACCAACCGAATGGGTAGTTTTAATACAATCTGAAGTGCTAGGATAAGATGAAGTTCAAAGGACCTGTGTTATTTGGGTGCATGGCAGTATAGAATAGAAGGAGGTTAAAAATATGTAAGGTTGGGGTATTAAAGAAGGCTCAGAAAGACATCATTTCTACTAAATCCAAACTATATTGAATGTATTATTTATTTTGATAGTCATGAGTTCTGATTATATTTTAATTTCTAACACTAGTGCTGTCTTCAAATTATCAGCTCAATTTAATCTCAACAAGTAGTAAGTACCCAGATGATAGCAGTTCTGCCTGCCTGTTTCTGATGAATATTTTTAGGAGGAGAATAAGTTGGATAACTAGTCATAGACATTTTATGTATCTTAAATAACACAGTCACCAAGTAGAAGTACTTACCTAGAATGTAAGACCAAGAACATTTTCACTCTTTCTGTTGAGTTAAAGTATAAGTTGGGAGCAAAGGTATTCACATTATTGGCAGTTAGGAAGGATGGAGAAAAGATTACGTATTACATAATTGGTTTCCTCTTATTTAGGCTGTAGAAGATGCCTTTGTACCTGTTATAAAATTTGAATTTGATGGAATTGAAGTAAGTGTTTCATATTTTTCTGGCTTTATAAATAGTCCCTCGCCTTCCTCTCTCCTACATCTATTGACTTCTCACCACGGAAAATGAACCAGCTCCATCCCCACCCCATTCTTCTCATTTCCATAATCTAACATCATTATATTATAATTTTGGTTGGAACAATATTCAGTGTTTACATTATTATAATCTTATTAATGTTCAAAACTGAGCATAAAGTATATTAGATTACCATTCTTTGCTGAATGGCATTTTGTTTTCTTGGGCGTTAATACTTGTTTTGCAATTTGTTTGCTTGGGCTTTCTTTATCTTAAGGCTAATTCAAACCTAGCCTGTCCTAGTTTTCTAAATCTCCTCTAAATAGATTTAAATTTCTCAAGTGTTCTGTCATTATCATCCTGAAAAAAGATCTCACTGAGTCTTCTCACCTGTTCCAGTCCACATTGATTATTCTCCATGACTGGTATACTATCATCCTGACATCTTTTGTTTACTATCATCATAGGATTTCCTTTTGCTTCTCTAGAGTTTTCTTTTCTGGACTCTCATTTTAGTGGCACTCATCCACTAGCTTCCTGAGAAAGAGCACATATTTTTGAGATCTTGCATGTTTAAAAATGTCTTTGTTCTGTTCTCACAACAAATTGGTAATTTGGTTGAGTATAGAGTTCTAGATGGAAAATAATGTTTTTCAGAATTTTGAAGGCCTTCAGTTGTTTCTAGCTTCTGTGCTATGCTGAGAAGTGTGATACCATTTTGATTCTTCATCCTTTGTATGTGATCTGTTTTGTCTCTTTGGATGCTTATATGATTTTTTTCTCCATAGTGTTCACAGTTGTAAAATTCATGGTAAAACACTTCAGTATGTCTTTTCAATCAAATAGTGCTAGGCACTGAGTAGTCCTCTTTCAAATTGGAAACTTCTTTCCTTTAGTTATTGGAAATTGTGTATTGACTTCTATTGAATTTCCTGCCTTTGTTTTCTCTCTCCTTTTGGAGCTCCTAACATTTGTGTGTTGGACCTCCAGGACTGTCCTTTTGTTTTTTTTTTATTTTGTTTTGCTTTTTGTGGTTTTCTCATCTTCCAAACTTTGTATTGTTTTCTATTTCTGTTATCATGTCTTTAATTTCAAAGAATACTTTTTTCTCTAAATGTTCTTATTTATGTGTATATGTATATATGTGTTTACAGCCTCCTGTCCTTACTTCCTAGATAGAATGTTTTTTATCTCTGCATTCTTAGATCTGCTTAGAACTGTTCATTTGCCCATCTACTTTCCAGCTCTCATAGTTTTTGCTGTTATCTTCTATTTTCCTTTGTCCTGGTGGGTTATGCCTTTAAAAACAAACTAAAACAAAAAACAGCAAAATTTTGCTGGTATTTTAGTAGGATTTCAAGAGGAAGTGAATATAAATGTGTTTTGGATCACCTGTCTTTATCTAGAAATTCATTCATAAGGTTTTGATTTTTTTTTTTAATGCTTGACATATATGCTAAAATTAAAATGCTTTCCCTTAATTTGAAATTTTAATTTCACAAAACTTCTCAGTGATTTTCCCATGTGAGATTGCCTACATAGGCCTTTTGAAGTTTTGGTAGAACTTCCAAAACTAATAATTACAACTTTTTACATTTTTGAGGTGGGAAGTGGGGAGAATGGGCTAGAAGGAGAAAAGGTAATATTTTTCTCTCTTTTTGCATCTTTCCAAAGATTGATCTAGTCTTTGCAAGACTGGCAATACAAACTATATCAGATAATTTAGATCTAAGAGACGACTCTCGACTGAGAAGCCTTGATATAAGGTGTATTCGCAGCCTAAATGGTAAGCTTCTAAAAAGAAATCTCAGATACCTGCTTGAAAACAATTCGACAAATAAGAGATCATTTTGCAGTATTATCAATGGACTTTTTAATGGATTGGACTAAGTTAAAAATGATGATGTAATTTTCTTTATACAGATAATCTGACCACATTTAAGCATCTTTAAAAAGAAAATTATTTGAATGCTGTTTATGTTTTTAGTAGTGGTTCTCAAACTTACTGGTGTCAGGACCCCTTTACACTCTAAAATGTACTGAGGACCCCAAAGATCTTTTGTTTTATGTGGGTTATATCTGTCAATATTTGCGATGTTAGAAACAAAAACTGAGAAAAGTTTAAAGTATTTATTAGTTCATTTTAAAATAACAATAGTAAACCCATTATAAATGAATATAAATACATTTTTTGTGTAAGAAGGGCTTTTTTTTGCATTTTTGCAAATCTCTTTTATATCTAACTTAATAGAAGACAGCTAGATTTTTGTATCTGCTTTTATAGTCAGTCTCTTACAGTATTTTGCTTTGATTGAAGCATGGGAAGAGAATCTGGCGTCTTAAAGACATATAATTGGAAAAGGGAGGAGTATTTTAACAGCCTTTTCAGATAATTGTGGGTATTCTTTGATACTATACTAAAACTTGACCAGTAACAATTTCTTTTTTCCAGCTTTATTGAGGTATAACTTATAGAGGATAATTACATACTGTAAAATTCATCCTTTTTAGGTGTATAGTTCAGTAGTCTTTCATATATTCAGAATTGTGCACCACCATTGAATTTTAGAATATTTTCATCATCCTCAAAAGATCCCTCATAGCCATTTGCAGTCCTTCTCCTTTCCAACACCTCAATCCCAGGCAACCACTAATCTTTCTGTCTCTATAGATTTGCCTTTTCTGGACATTTTATATAAATGGAATCATACAGCATGTGGTCTTTTGTGTCTGGCTTCTTTCACTTAGCATAATGTTTGTGAAGTTAATCCATGTTTATAGTATATATCAGTAGTTCCTTTTTACTCCTAAATAAAAATGATTGTTTTTTAAAGGTTAGTTAGAATAGTGAATCTAAAACCATATGAGTTAACTTTTTATACTCTAGTACATTAAAATCCATTGGTCTGTTGTTCTTTGAATGGATCTTTTACCCATACATGATTTTGTACTATCATGCCTTGGTCATTTGGAAAATACTGGTTCACAAATTTGTTTGGATCTTATAAATGTTAACACACATTTCATTATACAATATCAAAAAAAAATCACGGGCCGGCCGAGTGACTCAGTTGGTTAAGAGCTCACTCAAGAGTTTGAGCTCTGAGCAACAGCGGTTCGAGTCCAGCCCGAGCTGAGAAGCCGCTGAGCTGCCAACAAGTAGCAGGATGGCTCAGCTTAAAAAAAAAAAAAAAAAATCACATTCATTAATATCACTAATTTCATCAGAAAAGTCTTTAAGTATTGGAAAGCTATCTAAAATTCTAATTTTTCTTGAAAGCTCTAAATTTATTATTGGCAACAAATTTTGTCATTTGTTTTCCTTGAAGTGAGGGGCTCACTTTGTTTTGTTTTTCGGACATGTCTGCTAAATATCCAAGTATGAATAACTATAGTTTGTCAATCATTCTTTCAAGTAAAACTGATGTTCCTTGAAAAAATCAGGTAGTTCAAGTTCAACTTACTTTAAACATGTTCAAACACCCGCACACATTCCTCTCCTGTTTTCTAACTGTGTATGTGTGGCAGTAACTGTGATACATATTGTCTACTTAGTACAATTTGTTGCCACAGCTTTAATTCACTGCTAAGGTACCAGCAGTTTTACCCACTACTGCTTTTGTAACCATCTGCACGAATGTTAACACAGTGAAACAGGCTGAGCCTTAGAATTATTATAAAAATAGGTTTGATCAAACAGATTCCCAGGGGTCCACAGACCACACTTTGAGAACCACTGGTTTATAGTATCTTTTGTTTAACTGAATCATTGTGTTTTGCTGTACTTCCAGAGCACAACAGTACATCACAGTATTTATTAGTAAGGTTTGCATTAAAGCAATAACACTTTTATAACTTGAGGGCATTTTGATTAACAGTAAAGTCAGAAGTGGAAAAAAGCTAAAAAGATTGTCAGAACCATCGCTTATTTTAATATTGGATTGCATTACCCATGTGCTTTTGAATTCTTTAAAAGCAAAGGGATTTCTCATTATATAGATGTTAAGTTTCAAATACATAGAGAAAATAAACTCTCACATTTTATTTTTGATATTTTTAGCATTTAAGAGTCTGGAGGTCAGAAGGGCATTTGAATTAACTGGGTTTTACTGCATAATGAAAAATGAATGCTTTATCTTTTTCAGGATGTAGAGTTACTGATGAAATTTTGCATTTAGTGCCAAATAAAGAAACTTTTAGACTCACCCTAAGAGCAGTCAAATTATGGGCAAAACGTAAGTATCCCAACTCTTTTATTTCATGTTTACATTATAAAATTATAATTTTCAGTTGCTAATGATAAGCGTACATGGAAACTCCTGAGCCTATTGATACTGGGGGGTGAAGGTCCAATAAGTGTTGGCGAAGCTGTTTCTCTTTCAGGTGCAGTTATTATGGTGCTCTAATGGACTGTACCTCCCTCTTCTTGTGTGAAAACTAAAAACCCCTGACTTTCTATTTTAGGTTTCATCCAGGCAGTCAGGAAGAGTTAGAATGTGAAGAGTGAACCCTCACTGGTCTTTGAGCTCTCTATGAGCCAGGACCATCTTACTTATGTTTGCCTCTCCATCACCAACAAAGTTTATAGTAGGTGTTCAGTAAATTTGTTAAATGAAGAGCCTATAGTGATAGTTTTAACTTGTTTTTGTTTTTACATTATAACACTGTTCTAATAAAACCTGCAATTGCACTAGTTTATATGTATAGGATGTGGTTCATAAAGCACCCAGTCCTCAGCTTGCACAGCACATTTTGTATTATTTGTTATTGCATTTAAATAGTGCTACACTTTTGGCACCAGATTTTATACCAGTCTAAAACAGGGCTCTCCAATAAAACTTACTCTGATGATGGAAATGTTTCATATCGGTGCTGTTGAGTATGGTAACTCTGTGGCTACCGTACTCAGTTGAAACGTGCAACTGAGGAACTGAATTTTTAAATTTTATTTAATTTTAATTCAATTTAAAATTAAGTAGTACCTAAAAGAAGTGAAAAGATGTGTCTACACAAAACTTGTATACAAATGTTCACAGCAACATTATGCATAAGTCAAAAAGTGGAAACAACCACATATCCTTAAATTGATAAATAGAGGGCTGGCCAAGTGGCGCAATGGTTAAGAACTGGCTTGGGATGCCAGAGGGCCCAGGTTTGGATCCCACATATTGCCCTCCACAGCTAAGATGCTGAACAACAGCTCAACCTGGAGCTGGGCTGCCTTGAGTCGCTGGCAACGGTGTAGGCTGCAGCCCCTGTGGCAGTGGGTTGCCATGGGCTACCGTGTGTAGCCAGCAGCCAGCGTGAGCGGCCAGCAGCCGCAGTGAGCGGCCG